CACCGCCTTTTATTTATCCATTCACTTGTTGATAGACCCTTGGGTTGTTTCCACACTTAAGCTGTTGTGAATAATGCTGCTATCAACACGAGTGTACAGATATCTCTTTGAGACCCTGCTTTAAATTTTTTTCTAAAGATTTTATTGATTTATTCATGAGAGAGGCATAGAGGGAGAGGCAGAGACACAGGCAGAGGGAGAAGCGGGCTTCCTGCAGGGAGCCCGATGCAGGACTCGATCCCAGGACCCCGGGATCACGTCCTGAGCCGAAGGCAGACACCCAACCACTGAGCCGTGCAGGCGTCTCAAGAGACCCTGCTTTAAATTTTTGGGTACATACCCACCGATGGGACTGCTGGGTCATATGGTGATTCTACGTCTAATTTTTGAAGGAATCACCATGCTGTTTTCCAGCAACTGTGCCATTTCACATTCCCACCAACAGTGTACAAGGGTTCCTTTTTCCTCAACCTGCTTTTAAAGATTCAATGCAGGTGTCTTTTCTTCTAGAAAGCCCTCCGCGATCTCCTCGTCCTGGGACAGGTGCCCTTAGTGTACATTTACTGAGCAACTGCTATGTGCTTGGCGTTGAGCTCAGCACCTGAAACGCAGGTTTGCACAGGAGATGATCTCTGCTCTCAAGACACACTGTCCCATTGGTGCCACCCCGGGCGGAGAGGATAGGACTCAAGCCTGAGTTCTAGGACAGGCCACGAGAGGGTGCTCCAGGCAGGTAGCAGCAGGGAAGCACGTGGGGGATAAGACCATAAGGAGCGGTGGAGACCAGGGCAAAGCTAAACTTGTGTCCAGTTGATGGGGGCAGGTACTTCTCCACTCTGGCCAGCTGTTGCCATGTAGGAATCCAGAGCCGGGATCACCAGGTCTTTTAAAGAGAAGCTGGAAATCTGGATTTTTGTCTGAGATCTCTCTCTCTCTCTCTCTTTAAGATTTTATTTATTTATTCATGAGACACACACAGAGAGAGAGAGGCAGAGACACAGGCAGAAGGAGAAGCAGGCTCCATGCCAGGAGCCCGACGCAGGACTCGATCCCAGGACTCCAGGACCGTGCTGGGCCAAAGGCAGGCGCTAAACTGTGGAGCCATCCAGGGATCCCCTGTCTGAGATCTCAATGCTTCCACGTTACCAACTGATTTCAACATTTTGAAAGTCACTGAGTAGGACAAGCATAGGACTTCCTAGGGCTGCATTTAGCTCAGGGCTGTAAGTTTATAACCAAAGACCCAGTTCCACTCATTAAGCAATTATTGAGAATTATGAGCTCTGACTATAGCTCAGCTTTCACTTCTCCATCTAGAATATGAAGAAGTTATGTGACACTTTGGTCAGGGGTCCTGTCCTGTGAAAATCACAATCCTTAGATCTTTATTGGGTGTCAATCTCTTTGTGGAGTGGCAAGAAAGTGGACCTGGGGTGACAGGCCAGGCTTTAGGTTGCGGGTCTGCCTTCTGTAGGCCACCTAACATCTGCCCCTCAGTTTCCTTACTTAGAATGGGGTCCCGATGCCCCCCAAGATTTTGTGAGGATTCAAGATCCCCATCGGTGAACTTGCCTTGTGCCGGCGGCACAGTATGGAGTTCCTCTCTCCTTCCTTCCCAATTGGTCAGCCTTGAAACTCCCTCCAATTGGAAGTGCTGGAAGAGGCTAGATGTGTGATGAGTTCTACAACATTCCAGAGATTGGCAAGCTTCTTGTGGAGGGAGGAGTCAGGGGGCCTCCATATGGCCCATCTGCCAGTGAGCTCTGGGCAATCCTGCTCTATGTGCCAGCCTCCTGGGGGGCAGCAGATCCTCCCTCCTCTGATGAGGCCGAGGCCACTTCGGCAGCTCTGGTCTCGGGAGGAGAGGGTGTCCAAGTGTGTCTGGCTGCCCTCAGTGGGGCTTTAGCTCTGACGAGCCTGTAGAAAATGGACACAGCAAGTGCCAGAGAACAAGCATGATTATGAGAGGATTAATTTATTGCACAGATATTTCTTGAGGGCCTACCAGGTGTCAGATTGTTGCTCCAGGTTCTGGGGTCAGAAATGAATCAGAGAAGGATCCTGCCCTCAAGAGTCTTCTACTCAATGGCGGTGGACGTGGTTGGGACAATTTAATCCCTGGAGTGTGAATGACTGGATCCCTTACCGGGGAGAGGGGAGTTGACAGGGGCTGGGTTGTGGGGGCGAGGATGAGTTTGGTCCTGGGGCTCCTGCAGGACACAGAGCTACCCTACGAGGCAGGTATTTGGATTGTAATGATTATATATATATTATATATATTATATATGTATATATGTATATATTATATATATTATACTATATTTGAAGTGTGGGCTGGGGCCATGGGTATGAAGCTAGAGCCAGAGTCATCATGCATTCGCAAGGCAAACCTAACTTAACACCTACTCTGTAGGTGCCAGGTGCCAGGAGTACAGAGGTGAAGCAGACGCAGTGCCTACCCTCGGGGGCTCTCAGTTTAGTGCAGTGACATACAGCACTGATATTTATAACAGTTATGATTCCCGAGCACCCATGGGGTGCCGGGCACCGTGCTGAGCCTCTCTGTCTGCATCGCTTCATTGAGTGATCACAACTCTAGAATGAAGCCGGTTCCATCACTGTCCTGGTCTACAGATGGTGGTAAAAGCGAGACTCGAGGATGCCAGGGGACACTGGTAGTCGGAGGTGACACCCAGATATGAATCCAGTTCTGTCTGACTTGAAGCCCAGACTCTTGGACCTGGCACCGAACCTCCTCCTCCTTCCAGTACTCAACCGTTTGTTCAGGGAGTGACACTGTTGTGTCAAAGCTCATGCCAGATTCTGCTTGGCCGGGCTAGCCTCTGGATATCTGCATAAAATGAGCTCTCAATCCCGGAACACGGCCGAGCTCACCCCAGGAGAGGGGGAGAGAAGGAGAGGAGCAGACTTGGGGGGCAGACCCTGCATGTGGGGGCCGGATGGAGGTGGGGGTGAGCTGCGGAGGACAGATGGCAGAGTGTGGCCTCGCAAGGCTGGAGAGTGAGAGGGTCGAGGGGTGAAGCCCAAGCTTGGGGGGATCCCTGGGAGCCCGTGCAGGGACACAGCGGTGGGTTCAGGTGGCAGAGTGTTTGGATGGAAGTGGGTGATGAGCAGCTGGAGGCTTCTCTGTCCAGAAATGTGGCTTTGAGAGGGGAAAAAAAATCTGGAGAGACAGGTCTGAGGAGGCAGGGACATTTCCTCTTGTTTGGTTTAGGATGGCGAGGCCTGTGGTGTCCGTAGGCGGAGGAAGGACCTGGGAGGCCTGGTGGAGAAGGAGAAAAGTTGATACAGAATAGAGAGGAGATCCCCCCCCCCAGGGATGTATCGTGGATTTACTCGGTGCTTTACTATCTGTCCCCTGAACCTGAGGGCAAGTGTGGGGGGCCGGGCCTCTGTCTTGTTCACGGTGGACCCCAACCCCACTGGCACCTTGCATGTAGGAGACACTAGTAGGTACTTTCTGTATAGAACTGGGGCTCACAGGGTTCTGTGGGGTGCCCACCCATTAGCTCTCAGGAGGAGAGGGGCTCCTGAGTTTGCCGTGAGGGGAGAAAAAGCAAGAGAGAGGAGAAGGAGCTCACACCCACATCTCAGAAAAGTGTGTGCACAGGGGGGTCAGGGACGGGCGGGGCTCGGGATGGAGAGAGTGGAGAACAGAGCCTAATATCGGTTGCCTGTGCTCCTCAAGAACACGCTAGAAGGTTACTCTACATTTACTTACTGGCATTGTTAGGCCACTGCTCTGTTATACATGCACTCATGTGCTTCATCCTAACAAGGACTCTGTGAGGCAGGCCGAGCACAGCCAGCCCGGAGGAGATGTAGCTTGCACTTGCAGTGGGGAAGTCAGGATTTGAACCCAGGACCTGAAGCTCATCTACATTCTGTGATGTCGACCCCCTGCACCACGCACCTCTCCACTTGGCCTTATTTTATTCATTTTTAAAAAGTCTTTTTTATTTATTTACTCACGAGAGACACAGAGAGCGAGGCAGAGACACAGGCAGAGGGAGAAGCAGCTCGCTCCGGGAGCCCGCTGTGGGACTCGATCCCGGGACCCCGGGATCACGCCCTGAGCCAAAGGCAGATTCTCACCCACTGAGCCACCCAGGTGCCCCCCGGCCTTATTTTATACAGCAGGCGCCTCATCGTGGGCCTCTGGGGCGGCCGGGAGTCATTATTCTCCTGGATCACAGGAACAAACAGAGGTGTGGTGACTTGTCCGGAGTCACACGGCTCCTGGGTGGCTGAGTGGGGACTCCAGCCTGCGTGGCTCCCACTGCCAGCCTGGTGGGCTCTCCTTCCCGGAGGGAAGGAATGCAGGAATTCCGTAAGGAGTTCAGGTGCCACAAGGGAGGTGCCAGCTCCAGGGACATTTCACAGCATCCCCAGAGTGGGGCTTTCACGGGCTCCAGGGTCGCCCCACCCCGGGAACTGGGCAGCGTGGACGGGGAGGGTTGGCAGGTGAGGAACAACAGGAAGAGGGCGAGGACAGAGTTGGGGGTGTGCCACCTGGCTGCCCCTGAGTCGAGCCCGAGGGAGGAGCCGTGGGCTGGAGGGCTTGATAAAGACGCGCTGTGGCAGGCAGGAGGGGGGCTGTCCCGGAGGGGGATTCCAGCTCTCCGGTCCCTGGTGGGGAACCCTGGACCATGGGTGGCCCAGGCCAGACCCTCCTCGGTGTCTCTCCTGGCTCACCCAGGGAACTGTGACACGTTCAGGGAATCGCTGCTTTGGAACACAGAGAGGCAGAGAGTCCCCTGGGGTCTCGGTGGGGGGGGGGGGAGAGGAGGAGAAGCAGGGCTCCTATGTGAGCCATCGGGACGCCTGGAGGCGGCCCAGGCGGGGCGTGGGAGGCGGGCAGAGAGGCCTTTAAAACCCGCGGGCCCAGTGCCTGCCTCTCCTGCAGCGGGGCGGAGAGAAGGGCTCCCTGGTGAGGAACCAGCATCTGGGGACTGCCTGGCTTGGAGGTGTGGGGGTGTGCAGGGTGCAGGGAGGGAGAAGGGCTGGGAGAGGAGGCCCCTGACCCCCCCCTCCGAGTCTCCCCCCAGATGGAGGGGAGGTCTCTCGTATGCCTGTTGTGCAGCGGGCTTGATTCTGTCTGTCCCCTGTGGCCGGAGACCTGACCTGGGGGTCCTGGAGCATGGAGGGGGGGCTCTGTCCCTCCAGGGACCCAGCCACTCCCGACCCCCACTCTTTCATCTTCAGTTAGGCTGTCTGTCTCCACTCTCTCCACCTCCCATGACCTCAGCCACCACTTTACTCCAAAATTATCTCGCCGCCGTGCTCATTGCCCTCTGTGGTCGCTTGATAAAAATAGCCAATCCCACATCCTTCTCCTGGGGGCCGGCTCTGAGCTCCACCGATGGGCCACTTTCCAGCCCCTAGGGCAGCTGTGTCCCTGCCTCTGTCACCTCCTCACTGAGACCTCTCTGCAATCTTTCTCGGACCCCCCTTCCATGCGGCCTCATGCTGTTCCCTGCACCGACAGCCCCGGCCCAAGGTGCTCAGAAATGTGCCTGGGATTTTGGTTCGATTCAGGCAGGTACGGTGAGGCCAGGAGCCGGTTGCCATGGAGAAGACAGTCTGTGACTTACAGTCTCTGAGAGAAGGGGACACGCCACACATGCGGGGTCACACCGTGCGGGGTCACACCGTGCGGGGCCACACGAGGAAGCACTGGGGTTGTTGATCCAGAGGCGGAAGAAACTAGAGCAAGCTGTGCCCAGAGCCTCTCTTGTGTTTTCTGTGGGAAAGGCCAGGCAGGGGGCAAACAGCTTGGGCCTGGCCAGCTCAGAGGATTTCCACAGACTCCAGGCTGCAGGGGTGGTGGGTTCCTAGGTCCCTAGCGGCCTGCTTCTGGCCCTGGGGTGATTTAGGGCAGGGGAGAGATTGACTGGGAGCAGGAGAGTTAGACAGGGGGGTTGGGGGGCGAGTTCGGGACTGGCTGGTTTGCACATATGAAAGCCTTGTCCCTGGGGAGTCTTGTTATCGCTAGGAATTAGCTACTCCTGGGAGGGGCTGTGTCTTCCCAGCACCCCCCTCAAAGGTCCCCATGGGACATCAAAGCCTCATCAAATATGGAAAAGGTACCCCAGGAATAGTACACAGGGGCTGGCAGTGGAGCAGAGTAGGTCCACAGCCCTGGGCTGCAGAGTTGGGCAGCTCACCTCCCCTTCCTCAGTTTCTCCATCTGTGAGATCAACAACTACCCTCCCCTCATTCAACAAATGAGTATGGAAGGGGCAGACACGGTAGCAGCAGGTCTAACAACCGCCACCTGCCAGGGTGCCCGGCAGGCTTACAGAGACAGGGGACAGATCCTGGCACACTGCGGGCGCCCGGGCGTGGCGGCTGGCCTCTTCCTCCTGTCGCGGCTCTGAGAAGAGGCCGGGAATGACCGGTGTGGAAGGGGTAGGGTCTGGAGCCATGTCCCCTGGCCGGTTGGAGCCCTCGAGGCGAGGCCACGGGTGGACAGAACCCTCAGGAATGTTCTTGGAACTCAGAGGAGCTGCTGGACAAAGGGCGGCACGGAGAGGCCCGCCCGCAGCCGGAGCCCCGGGGAGCGGAGGTGCTGTGCTTGGAGCCAGGCTGCGGGGGTGCCAGGGGCTCGGGGCAGAGCGCCGCACGAGTGACCGCTGAACCCAGGGATCAGAGACAGCCGGGCACTGACGGGGGAACCTTGGCAGACCATCAGCCGCTGAGCAGCTGTGGATAAACACGGACCTTGGGATCCAGAGAGGGAAGGGAAGCAGACAGCGCCGGTAAGGAACCCCCGAGAGGCCAAGTTAGAATCAGGCGCTGGCCCAAGCCGCTTGGAATTTCCTCTGCCTTCTGGGTGTGATTTTTCGGGAGTCAAGGCCGGTGATTCATGTGTTTGCCGAAGGCAGGTGCTGGGGAGGGAAGCTGGGGTCTCCAGGCCCGCGGAGTAGAGCTCCGAGGCTCAAAGGCAAGTCACCCCTCCGAGAAGGGAGGCTCTGCTGGGCGGTGAGAGGTGCACAGGCCTGGGGTTGAACCCTTCTTCCACTTCTTACAAGCTGCCTGGCTTCTGGCAAGTTCCATGAGGTCTTTGATCCTCCATTTCTCTGCTGGGAAAAATGGGAGCAGTGATATCTACTCTTGGGAGCCCTCACGAATACCCAGGGTCGACTTATTCTTTACGTAGACACAGTACTTGGAGCTCATAGAAATGTTTTAAATCTAATTGTTTTAGAATCAGGAGAAGAAAAATGAATAGAATCGTAATGGATATATCATACTACATCCCGCCTGGATCATATTTGTTTCCATACCAATACAGTTGTAAGATATAACTTAAAAGAATTTATTTTTTTTTTTGGAGGAAGGGGCCCATGAAGGCGAAAGTGCCCAGGACCCACAAAGCCACAGCAAGGCCCTGAAGGCTGCTCACAAGGGGCTGCTGGCGCTTCCTTCCGGAGTCCCCACTCTGGGCCAGGCCCTACTCTCTGTGCTGGGACAGAGGGGTGAAGCAGCCTCGCTTCTGCCCCCCTCCCCCCCCCCCCCCCAGACACCAGCAGGTCAGACATCCTTGACAACCGGCAGCCAGGGCCGAGAGATGAAAGAACAGAGGACTTAGCATCATCTGCTTCCCTCTGCCTCCCACCCTGACTCCATCACTCCCTCCATCCTGGCTTCTTTCCTCCCTACTTGGTCCTTGCGTCCTTCATTAAGGGCCATGTCCAGCTTGTGTCAATTCCCACCTGTCACCTGTGCCACCAAATCTCCATTAGGAAACCTCTGCCTATTTTAGCCATTGCCTGCGGAGGGGGCAGTTGTGCTGGGGCATCTGTGGTGGGAAAGTCCACTCCTGCCTCTACCGGGGACCATACCCTACAAGTGCTCTTTGGCTCCAAGTGACCCCCCAGGATCAACTCCTTGAGGTTTTTGCCTCTTTTCCAACTAAGGTCGCCTTTGTGCTGCCCAACAGGAGAGGGTGAGGCCTGGCGGGAACCCAGGGGTGGGGTCCGGATGCGTCTCCTGAGAGGCACGTCACAGGATGCATTTTCTCTTCCAGAACCCCGGAGATGAACGGCCTTCTCACACTAGCTTGGTTACTGGCTTGTTGTAAGTGCTGGGCCCATGACCTCTGAACTCGTGACCTTCTATCCCCAGGAACAGTAGAGTAGTGGAAAGGAGGCTAGTCTTGGAGGTTGTTGAGACTTGATCTTGAATCTCGGCTCTGCACTTCCTGTGTAGGCATCAGCAAGAGCCTTTGCCTCTCTGAGCCTCTGTCTCCTCATCTGCGACACGGGATGACATTTAGCCCACTGGTGGGGCTGTGGCATGATTTTAGATGGTGATAGGTAGAGAGGTGATTGTGTGACGTGGACCAAATGTGGCTTGCAAATGTGAGAAGCATATTTTTCACTTTGGTGCAAAACAAAACAAAGTGAGGCCCAAATGAAAAACTAGACCCTCATAAGTAACTATTCCATCCCGTGGTTCCTGGGTCATTCTCTGCTGAGGCTGGCCTGGGTCTTCTTTTCTTCTTTTCTTTTTTCTTTTCTTTTCTTTTCTTTTCTTTTCTTTTCTTTTCTTTTCTTTTCTTTTCTTTTCTTTCTTTCTTTCTTTCTTTCTTTCTTTCTTTCTTTCTTTTTTTTCCTTCTTTTTTAAAAAGATTTTATTTATTTATTCATGAGAGACACAGAGAGAGGCAGAGACACAGGCAGAGGGAGAAGCAGGCTCCCTGTGGGGAGCCTGATGTGGGAGTCGATCCCAGGACCCTTGGATCATGCCCTGAGCCAAAGGCAGGTGCTCAACCACTGAGCCACCCAGGCGTCCCTGGCCTGGGTTTTCAATACATGCCCTACCTGCTGCCATCTCCCAGCTGGAGGTAATTGCACAGCACAGGGGAGCCCCATGACCGTGTACACAACCCCCGACAGCTGTCCTAATCTCTGATGTCTTGCCAGATCCCTGAGACTCACCAAGGGTGGGAAGCCTAGTGGGAGGAGGGAGTCCCTGGCTCCCTGTGAAACCCTGAACCTTTCCTCCCAAACTATTGTCTCCCAATCTGGAAGGTGAGGTAGCTGCCTTCTACGATCTGGGAGGATCCCACCCTGCTAAAGGTTCTGGGCCTGATGTTCTAGATGGTGTTATTTGCGGGGAGGGAGGTACCCATCGTCAGGAGAGACAGGAAGCACCTGTCTGCCTGCTTCCTACAGCTACCATATTAATTACACTTAATATTTCTCGGTCATTCACTATGTGTCTGCCGTTGTGCTCAAAATTCACACATGTCCTCTCATTTTAACCCTCAGAATAGCTCCAAAATGTAGGCGCTCACTTTAGCCCCTCACCCGATTTGCAGACGAAGAGGCAGAGGCTTTGAGAGATGAAGTGACACATTGTGCTGAGAATGAGCAGCAGAGGCAGGGTTTGAACCCATGTTCTAGCATTCTCCGAGTCCAGACTTGTAGCTCTTCTGCATCCCTCCCCTTTCTCAGTCCTGTCCCACTAATGGGGAGAATAAGGAGGAGACACCCGGGTCCCTGCAAGCTGCAGGGCAGGAGAAAGGGCAGGTGCATGTGGGGCAAGTGTGTTCACCCGGAGCCGTGGGCTGCCTTCCAGGTGTGCGTGCTGTGCCGGGAGGCTTGCTGGACCTCAAGTCCATGATTGAGAAGGTGACTGGGAAGACCGCCCTGACGAACTACGGCTTCTATGGCTGCTACTGTGGCTGGGGCGGTCGGGGGACCCCCAAGGATGGCACCGATTGGTGAGCTGGTCATCATGATTATCCTTTGCACTCAGCCTCTGCACCCGCATTATCTCACATAATTCCGTGTCAGTTCTGGAAGAGGAGTATCAAAGCGCCACTTTATTGGCAAGAAAACTGTGTGCCAGGGAGGTTAGCTGACTTGCTCAAGAGACATCTAGTAACTTCTCAGTAACCTAATGTGTCAGTTGTTCTATTGCTACATAACACATCACCCCAAATGTAATGGTTTAGAGTGAGCATGATCATTTATTTTGCTCAGAATTGGCCTTTTGGGTAGGTCTTGGCAGGATGGCTTGTCCCTGCACCCCTGCCCCTACCCCTGGCTTCAACTTGGGCAGCTTGAATGAGGCCGGACCATCCAGTTTCCAGATGGCTCACTCCCGTGGCTGGCTGCTGCCTGGGAGCTCAGCTGAGGCTAGAGAGTGGTTGGGGGGCTCGGTTCCTCTCACTTAGGCCTCTCCAAGGCTGTTGGGACTTCCTTCCCCCACAGCACAGTGACTGCTGGATTCCCTAAGAGTGAGTGTCCCAAGGTTGCAGGGCAAAAGGGTCTAGCCTCAGAAATTCTATGGTGTCACTTGGTGGAGGCAGTCACAAAGGCATTGAGAGGAAAGGGACCTAGATTCCATTTCCTGATTGGGAAGTGTCAAAGTTCTAGAACATATGAGCAGAAGAGATTGTACTTTGGAAAATTCTGAGATACCTGATGTGGATAATGGAATGGGGCCATGAGGCAAGTGGATGGCAGAAGGTGGGAGCCAAATTTTCCACTGCTGGAAGGGGAGTTCTCTCCCTGCAGTGATGGATTAGAGGTGGAGATGTCAGTATGAACTCCTGTTTAGCTTAATATAGAGGCAGGTAGTTACGTACAGAAATAGGTACAGATGTGTTTACTAACATGGGTTAATATGGACACAGTTTTTGCTCTCTCAGCTGAGAGGACCTACAAGAAACAACATCCAGGAGCAATAAGCAACTTCCAGTCCCCAGATCTGGTCTCTAACACCATTCTCCAAAACAATGAACCAAGGCTCCTTGGAGACATGGCTGATTCTAGGACCAGGACAGAAAATATATAGGAGGAGCCTGGAGTTTCAAGTGAGCCCAAAAGATAAGGAAGCACTCAAAAGAACCACCTCCCGCATAGGTAGGGATAGGTCAGGGAGCACAAGAGCCAACTGGAAGGGCTCCCAGTGGCCAAAGCTGGAGTGATTAAAGCAGCAAGATAAACCCATAGCCCCAGTCTTATCATGAGAAAAACATCAGACAAATTCCATAGAGAGCCATCCTACAAAATACCAGCCCGGCCCTCCTCAAAACTGTCAAGGTCATCAAAAACAAGGAAAATATGAGATACTGTCACAGGCAAGAGGAGACTAAAGAGACTTGACAACTAAGTGTAATGAGGTGTCCTGGATAGGATCCTTAAATAGAAAAGGACATTAAGTGAAAACTAAGCAAATCTAAATAAACTAGGGACTTTTTACAATTAAGGAATCAATAGTGGTGCATCATGATTTAGCTGATTAGTTATTTAATCTATGATATCAATATCGGTTTGTTAATTGTAACACCTAATATAAGATGTTGATAATGGGAAAAACTGGGTGTGGGGTACAAAGGAACACTCTATACGACTTCTCTATTTTTCTATAAATCAACTTTTAAAAAGTGCCATCTTCCACACCTAACACACTGGAAGTTTATTTTTTGCTCACATCACAGTTCCTTGTGACTCACATATTAATGCCCGGACCCAGGTTCCTTCCATCTTGTGGCTCTGCCATCCCCTGTGCCCTCAGAGTCCTCTTCTGGGTCATCTCCATCCACCTGAGAGACAGGGAAAGAGAGAAAGAAGAGGACAGTGTGGGAGGGTTTCATGGGTAGGTCTGGAAGTGGTGGACATCATTTCTGACCATTATTCCCCCCGTCGGAACCTAGTTGTGTGGCCACAGCCACTCGCAAGGGAGGCTGGGAAAAGTAGGCTCACAGTGACCCTGGGGGAGAGAGCAGGTGAGTGAACCACTAGCCAGTGGCAGGCGGCCCCAGCAGAAGAGCAGAGAAGTGCTCAGCCATACCCTTAGATTCTCTCTTTGCCAGAGCGCACCCACCTAGCTGCCCCCCGCTAATGTGACGTGCCCCTTCCATCCAGGATCTACGTCTCTTGTGTTGGCAGGTGCTGTTGGGTGCATGATCACTGCTACGGGCGGCTGGAGGAGAAAGGCTGCCACATCCGGACACAGTCCTACAAATACAGATTTGCACGGGGACTGGTCACCTGTGGTAAGGCTGGGGCTTCCCCTTCAGGCCACTGATAGAGCCTGGGTCTTTGCTGGTTCTGAGCTCAGCTGTCCCCGGGGTCAGCCGGCCCGGCCTGTATCTGGGAGGGCAGAGCTGGGGGCAGGAGGGGCAGGAGGGGCAGGATTATCATGGGTGTATCTGACTTCTGCGGAAGGGCTGAAACCTCGCAGGCGGAGCATTCCCCAGGTGCCAAATGCTTTGCATGCTTCCTCTCACTTGCTCCCCCAAATACCTTTTGGAGTGTGTTCACTTTTCCCGTTTTACGAGTGAGGAAACTAGAATTCAGAGCCTTGCCAGCACGCATGGCTAGAGCTGGGATTCAAGCTCAGGTCCATCTGAGTTCGCGAAACTCCTTCTGGGGGCCATGTCTCCTCCTTGAGGACTGGACTTCCTCCCCGGCAGAAGCCGTCTCCACCGTCAGAGTGGGAACGTCTAAGGGGAGAGAACGTGTCTCCACCGTCAGACTGGGTGGGAACTCCCAGAGGGCAGGGGCTGTGTCTCCCTGGGCCGAAACCTGTCCCGGGGCAGCAGCTAGGCCACTTCCATCGGATCATGCATTTCCCAGTGTGGAAGCTGTGCCTCCCTCATCGGACGGAGAGCCTCCTGGGGCAGGACGCAGACCGGGGAGTTTGCTGAGGATAGAAGCAAGCCCAGGAGGCAGTGTTGGTGGAGCCCCCGTTCCCCTCCTCATTGTGCCTTTGGTGTCCCGTTTGCAGAATATGGGCCCCTCTGCCAGATGCAGCTCTGCACCTGTGACCGGAAGCTCGTCTACTGCCTCAAGAGGAACCTAAGAAGCTACAACCCTCGCTACCAATACTTCCCCAACATCCTCTGCTCCTAGTCGCCCTCGGAGCTCTTACTTGACCAGGACTTTTGCCCCCTTCTCTTACAACACGGAGCCCACCGACTCTGCTGGGTTCCTGCGAGAGGCCCCCAGTCTTGGCCACGGGGCTTGGGGGAGCCCCCTGGCCACACTTCACACTCCGCAGAGTTCCAGGAGAGTGACTCTGCTCGTAGGACCTGGTAAGGTCAGGGTCCCTGACCCCGACTCATGAAGTCGGCCCCTCTGATGCAGGGAGCTCGCCCCCAGCTCCAGGCCAGCTGTCCGCCCTTGGCCCCAAAGACAGCGCCCCTTCTCCAGGAAGATGCATTTACTTTTCAGTTTCAGCAGTCAGATTAGCCCTATACCCTCTAGTGAATTTTTACTCAAGGTAAAAGCAACATGGACCCCATATAGATATTAAATAAAATCTCTTCTTAAATAAAACCACATGGGCACTTGTCTCTGCTCTTGGGGATTGCCTTGCACCCCTTCTTCCTCTGCCACTGGGGCACTGGACCCAAAGGTACCGGAGACTCTCAGGAATAGAAGGTGAGGATTCATAAATAGAAGGTTTTCTGGGATCCAAGCCTTCTTTGGGGTTCATCTTCTTACACCATGGGGTCCTCTCTGGCCAAGCACCAGGTTCCATTCTTCCTTGAGGAGGTGAGGAGAAGGTGCTTGGCAATCATGCCAGCTTGGGCTTCCGGGCCAGAGAGGGCTGCGTTCGAATCCCAGCACCGGCTTCTCTAGTCGCGTGGTCTCGGGCTTGTTGCTGAACCTCTGTGACTTCCAGTTTCCTTAAAAAGGAAACCAGAATGTTTCTTGCAATGTAGAGTGGGTAATCCAGAGGTCATCTTGCTGCTGACACAGGCATGCTGAGGTTCTGGAATTCCGCAGAGCAGGACATTTTTTTTAAAAAAATAGGGTTCAGCGGAGGGGTTCATTTTTATCACGTAAGGATTCTAAAAAACCCACCTCATCTATCAATTCATAAAAGAAAGGGTGATCTAATACCAAGACTGCGGGAAGAAAGCACACATTCCGAAACAAAGGAGAGTCCTTTCCAAGAAAGGACCTTTGGCCTCCTTATGCGGACAAACCCCAAAATAACCACATGATAAATGGGATCTATATTTAAGAAAAACTCCCAACACTGAACATTTTTCAAAATAAAATGTAATTTTATGAGACGACTCTGAATGTACTAGTGCCTTAGAAAAGTGATACCGACTTGAATCTATTTGACTGTGTTGCATAGAATGGAGCTCACGTGTCCCATTTACTCTTCAAAAAATTTTTTTAAAATTTTTTTTTATTTATGATAGTCGCACAGAGAGAGAGAGGCAGAGACATAGGCAGAGGGAGAAGCAGGCTCCACGCACCGGGAGCCCGAAGTGGGATTCGATCCCGGGTCTCCAGGATTGCGCCCTAGGCCAAAGGCAGGCGCTAAACGACTGCGCCACCCAGGGATCCCCCCAATTTTTTTTTAAATCAAAACCGTTCCCCAAGTCCAATGTGAAATAGGCACACAGGAGAGTCAGAAGCTTCACTTTGATGCCATTTCTCCCCAGTTAAGAGTTCCTGAATGATGGAGAAGAGACCCCAGCCCCGTCAGGGACAGGTGGCGGGCAGGGGTTGTCTTGCCGCTGGGGTTCTGCGGGAGGGGCTGCGTGCAGGCCGTCCTCTCCGGGCGTCCCAGCCCAGGGCACCTGCATTCAGACAGGCACAGGCAGGCATTTGTGGACAAGGGAAGCTTCGAGGTTACAAAAGCAACAGCACAGGCTGAGATGGGCTTGAGCTGGAGGGGCCTCTGGGGAACTTTTATTTATCTACCAGGAAATGGAGGTGCAGAGAGGTTGGGAGATTTTCCCAAAGTCACACAGCACAGCAACAGCAGAAGTTAGAGGTAGATCTCAGATCCGGGTTCTAAACCCTGGGGCCTGACTACCAGCCCATTGTCTTTAGCTCCAGTGCACGTAGAGAGAAAACAGAAGCTGGGCTAGTTTGGGGGTTCATCCATAATAGGGGTTTTCAGGACGATCCCCTGGATTCCACCTGAGGGCCAGGTTCTTCTCTGCTCTAACTGCCTTGGATAGCAGAGGCCGTCCCCGGCTTGTTAGTCTGGCAGGGGCTCTGACTTCATCCTCTGTAGAGGGGGACCCCACTGAGGTCCTCCACGGAGGCTGCCCTGGACCCCTGTCATGGCAGCGAGCAGCTCTGGGGAAATGATGAAATCCAGGAATCGCCAAAACCCAGGAGGAGGTGGTCTCTTTGACTCTGTTATTTGACCAACTCTTGGGTGACAAGAGACCCATCAGGGGGCTCATCTCTCGAAATTGCATGGTCCCCCAAGGGGTGCACTGTCCTGGATCTGTCATGTGTCCTTTAGCTACGCGGAAATTGCATTTCCCAGAAATTCCATCCCCGCAGAATTCCAGGCTGGTGTGGGTCTCCGGAGATGTTTGCATGAGATGCGGAAGCAGATGTGGAGTAGGAGTGGTAGGATTTTTACAAGCAGGGTTGGAGCGGAGCATGAGAGGCTGTTGCGGGTGATGCGTGTGGGCCCTTATCTACTGGCTCACCGTGTGGGTGTTGGGGAGCACCCGAGCCGCAGCCACTCCAGGTCCTGCCAGGCCACCTGCTTTGGCTCCTTCCGTTGGAGGTGATGAGATGGTTAAGGGCATTCTGGGCTGTCCTCGTGGGTTCCACTCATCCCTGCCGGTCCAATTGCCCTGTCGCTTGGGCCACAGGATTTCAGGCAGCGGCACCAGCAGAAAAAGAAACAGCCTCTCACAGAATGCTTGCTTTTTTTTTTTTTTTTTAAACTGGCTTCCACAATCATGGAAGCCAAATCCACATAAAAACCCCTTATTTTAGGGCAGCCCGGGTGGCTCAGCATTTTGGAGCTGCCTTCGGCCCAGGGCGGGATCCTACAGTCCCAGGATCGAGTCCCACGTCGGGCTTCCTGCATGGAGCCCGCTTCTCCCTCTGCCTGTGTCTCCTTCTCTCTCTTTCTCTCTGTGTCTCTCATGAATAAATAATTTTTTTTAAAAGTCCCTTATTTTATATGTTGGGATCTCCTAGACGTTCCGAGGCTCCGATCAAACCCTGATTGATAGAGCCGGCTTCCCAGTGCCTACCAGTGTGCTTGGCACACAGCAGGTGCTTCACAAGTGTTTGTTGACTGAATGAGTGACCGGATGGGCAGATGAGTGAACGAGACAGTCCCTGCCCCCAGGGTGTTCACGGACCAGAGTGGAAACAGGCCTGATGAGCTGGGCAGGAGGAAGGGCAGCGCAGCGGCTGCTGGTACAGTCTGGACGAGCGCTGGCTTGTCTTTGTCCCTTTGGCCTACCGGTCCCTGATGCCTCCCTGGCCTGGCCAGCGCCGAGTGAGGGGACAGGCGTCCTCAGGGGCCAGGGGAGACAGCTCGGTGCCCCAGTGTCTAACAGGGGCACGGTCTACCTGCATGGCTTTCCCGAAATGAGGTTCCAGCCTGCTGTGTGTGTCCAGAACCTGCTCTGACACAAGGCCAACTTCTGGTCACATGCGCACATCTTCTGGCACTTGCTCCGAGGACCAGCTCGGGAAGGAAACCAGAGTGCTCACCTCTGGGGCAGTCAGAGAGACCCAACCTATCCCACTCAGGTGGCAAGAGTCTCCCTTGGGAGCCTCAGAAATCCCACCGCCTCCTGGAGGCCTCTCAGGATGGTGACACTGCCCTTCCCTGCTGAATTCAGAAACCCCACGACTATGGCGTAACTCAAGTCCTGGTGGAGGTTTGCTGGTCCTCGGTCCATCCTTTCTTTCACATACTCCAACTGTACCTCTACAGGCGCTCCCTTCCTCTAAGGCTTCCAGTGGCTCCCCGTTGCCAAGTTCTTTTTTGTTTTTAAGATTTTATTTATTTATTCATGAGAGATGCAGAGAGAGAGGCAGAGACACAGGCAGAGGGAGAAGCAGGCTCCCTGCCAGGAACCCGATGTGGGACTCGATCCCAGGACCCCGGGATCACGCCCTGAGCCAAAGGCAGACGCTCAACCGCTGAGCCACCCATTGCCAAGTTCTTCAGCCTGACGTTCTAGCTCTTTCTGCTGCCAACTGTGCTGCCCTTGCACTTGGTCTCCCAATTGTTCCCCACTTCCCCAAACCTCTACTCCTCCCGTCTTGCCCGGTATGTTCCGCTCTGCCTCTCTTCTCCCTGTTTCCTCCCTTGTGGGATGTTGTCCCCTCTCCTTTACCTGTGAGTTGCTTTTTTCCTTATCGGTAATGATGACTGTGAAAACTACCACTTACCGCCTGCCTGCCACGTGCCAGGGACTCCTCCGGCTTATGTCACTTTGTCCTCCCAACAGCCCGACAGGCAGGTGTAATTATCCAGCTTAATGGGTAAGCAGATGGAGGCCGAGCATGGAACCTCGGCCACACAACCCGAGAAGGGCAGAGTGGGGACTTGAACCCCTGGGACTGTGCGGATCCAGAGCCTGAACTCACCGGGAGCAGGGTCTGTGCCTCGCTGGCACTGCAGTGACACCAGGGCAGAGACACCAGGGAACAAGCAGGGCTCACATCTGCATCTTCTTGGGAACCACAGCCCAGAGTCAGAATCAGGTCAATACAGAAAACCTGGTTTTGGGGAAGGGGGGCGGCTGGCCACCGAGACTCCCACTGGCTCAGTGAGAACCAACGGCCACAACCATGACCCAAAGGCACTGCTGTGCTTCAGATGCCTCCCCAGCACTCAGAGAAGTAGGTGGCTGTAGGTACTTTGTACCCCAAACCATCCAAATACCTCGTCTACGCTGAACTGAGTTAACATTCTATAAACTGGGGAAATGAGAAGTATTGGGAACTAGATATGAGGTTCTGGTCCTGACTTTGCACACATCTTGGATGACCTTGGGCAGCTCCCTTCCCCTTTACAAGAGCAGGTTTGGTGGATAATTTCCCCTGTAGCCATGGCCCATGAGTGAGTCATGAAATCAGTTTAGAGGGTTGCATATGACGTGTGTGTGTATGTCGTGTGTGTGTGCTTATATATGTTTTTGTATCACAAGCAGTAAAGTGCTGCTTCAGCAAATTGTGTCTCTGTTGTGAGTGAGTGTGTGTGTGTGTGTGTGTGTGTGTGTGTGTGTGTTGGGGGGCTAACTGGGTCCAGGCATGAAATCTATTATATTTTGTGGGTTGCTGTCAAGAGGATTTGAGAAGCCATGGCTCGCATGACCTCTCAGGGCCTGCCTGGCCTGCCTGTGCTTAATTGCACAAACCCCCAAAAGGCGCCCTGGGGCCCAGTTCCCCTGGGCCCCCTCATTCTCCTCAAGCGTTAGATCAGAACAGGGCTTCTGGCTGTGGATCTCCAAGCCTGTGTTCGGCATCAGTCCTCGAACGTCCTAGAACCACCCAGCAGAGGAACTGGACATACACACAGTGTATGTCACTGGGACACTGAGAGCCAAGCCACGAGTTTTAATCC